TCCCCACCCACCCACTCACCCATCCCCTCTGCAAAAAAAAAACGGCAAAGTATAAATCACACCAAAAACAACAGAAACAGATGTCATATTCCGTATTGATGGGGGATGCTCGGTTGCCACGTCTTTTTTCCACGAAGAGGTAGAGAGAGGAAATAAGCACGTTCTAGTAATGAGACATATGCAGGTTCTCTCTGGGAGGCGACGACACATTAACTGCAGAGACGAGGTAGACGCTCGAAGGGAGGACAGGAATGTAAAAAGTAAGGTTGCCCCGGGACGGAGGCAACAACAACAAATATACGTTTGAGGAGGAAAACGGGGATGGAGAAGAATGAAGGCTCATTCATGCAGATTGTGTAGGCGTAACGCAGTAACAGTGAGAGGGAAGAAAATAGTAGTAAATGCCGCACCCTCAAAGGAGGTAAAGGAGAAACGCATATATATATATATATATATATATGCGTGTATGTATTGAAGACGGGGTGTATCAAAGTTTGTGCTTTTGCAGCCGTACAGACGCTAGCAGGAACAAATTGAGATATATATATATATATATATATATATATATATGGGGGCGTGTTGTACAAACACAAACTGCAAGCCCAAAAAGGGTGGGCGAAGAGAGCAGTTGTGATGCATTCTTGTTCTCTTTTTACTTGTGATTTTGACTTGGTGTATGTGCGTGGGTGTGGATGTAGGTTTCTCATTTTTCAGATGGTTTGGATAAAACGTTACGTCTTTTGCCTTATTCCTGCTTTACTTTAATTCCTTCACGTATAGTTGTTGGCGATTCGGAGCGGACGCTCCGCTTATTCCATGCCGGGCCGTCTTGCCCCGTCTGCTGCACCTCTAATTCATGGTTTCCGCGAGGAACAGTGAAATAGGCAGTATAATGTTGAGTGCTACCGTAACAGCAACCATCTTATTACTTCCTTTACGAGAGGAAAGAAAAACGGGAGAAACAGAGAACAAAAACATGAAGAAATATATGGAGGAGTGCAAAGGGAAAAAAAGAAAGAAAGCAGAGTGGGCAAAGCCAATATCTTTGTCTTTTTTGTTTGTTTGTTTGGTTTTCAATCTGTGATAATAATTTTTTTTTTTGGCGTGGTCAAGTTTTGATGTGTATATAGTTTCAGAGGGAGGCGTGTGTAGGTGGGGGCAGGCCGAAGCAAGGAGGATGCGTCTCTCTCCCCCTCCTTCTTTCTCCACATCCCTGGAAGGTAGTGGTGAGAGGATGTGTCAGCTGTGCGGCGCCTCTGCATTCCAGCGGCCTGGGAAAGATCGTGCAGGGGGAGTGAGAAAGAAGACGTTAAATAGATTCGAACGGAGGAGGCAGACTCAAATAAAGAAGATATGAAGGACGGTGACGCTCACAACAATGAGCTGAAGAGGCCAAAATCCGAATTCAGCGAAGGCAGTCGAGAAGGAAGAGGCGAGGGAGGTAGAACCGCTGTGAAAGCGGAAAAAAGATATTTCCCATCCACCATGAGCATGGGTCATTTTGTAGAGGTAAAAAGGGGGAGAAGGCTTGTTTCTTTATGCGTCTTATGAAGACGTTCCTGTGGGGGTCAATGTGTCCTTCCCTTTTCTTTGTCTTCTTTCCTTCGTTTTTTTTTCCTTTTTGTCGTTGCTTTTATGGATTTGTCCGTCTTCTTCTGGTATTATTGTAGGTGTGTTGCCTTTGTGTGTACGTGTGTGTATGGCCGTGTCTTGATAACTGAGGTCTCTTTACAACATGGTGTTTTGTTAAAATAATTATTGCAGTGTACTGTTTCCTTCGTTGGTGTATTGTAAACGTTCAAAAGCGTCGTGGTCTGTGCTTTAAACATGCCTGTGCATATGGCTGTGTATGGCGAAGAATATGAATGACAACAAAGACAACGACAAAAAGTAGTAAATGTTTTAAGAGGACCACCAAACAATGAAACACGACGGGAAGTAGTCGATGGAGTGGGAACTATAGATAAGGCAGGAGGAGGAAGGATAAGGATAAAGGAATGAATGTATGGGGTCGGGTGTTTGTGCCGAGCTGTGAGCAGTGGGGAAGAATGCAACAGCAACAACGAAAAAAAGAGAACAATAAACCAGAAATCTTCTCATATACATGTTGTACGCTAATAAGCGTGTTTGCGCTCGTGCTTGTGCTTTGGAGGGGGAGGACGCGAATAGTTGTCCGCGTGGCACACTGCACACTTCCTCACATCCCCGCTGTTTGTGCGGGGTGCCTCAAGACCCTAAATTGGGCGAGCTTGGTGCGTGCGTTCCTGAGGAGTCCGCACTGCAATCTGGAAAATAGGGTAGCGAGGCCAGCAAAGGCAAAAAGGGACGTATGGCAGAATTGTGCCAAAATAATTCATAACAGAGAAAAGGTGAAACCGGAATGATAGAGAAAGAGGGAAGAATATTCAAGAAAAATGAATACTGGAAGAATTACCAATGAAAACGATAACAATCCCAATAATAATAGTAACGAGGGAAGATTGGAGAGCTAATGGGTGTACCGCACATATGCACATGTACGCACAATTTTTTTAAAAAACGGCAAATGAAGAACAGGTGTGTGTACAGGGAAGAGCGTTTACATGCCCTTTAAGCTCTTTCCACTGCGAGGTGCAGCGATAAAAAAACAAACAAACTTGGTGATCTTTTGCAAGACAACCCGAAGAGTCAGCAATGTGGTGCTGCTGCTCGCTTGTTTTTTTTTTGTTTGTTGTTGTTGTGTGTTTTTTTTTTTTTCTTATTTTCCTTCTTCTGTTCCTTCGTTTGGTATGTTTCTTTTGCACACACATACACACAACCGCCTGCACTCGCTAACACGCCCCGCTCGTGGGTAGGAGGAGTGCCCGGTGACCTCGGTTACATACTCTTGTCGTTTCTCAATGAGGTACCCGTTAAAGACCACTTCTTTTGAACACCGCACCATCACCTCCCACCCTACCCTCTCTTTCCTTAGCTATATATTTTTCCCATATCAGACGAGAAACAAAATTATTATTTAAATACGTGTGAGCCATTTGTTCATTTTCTTTTTGCTCTGCATCCCCTTATCACCTTATTGCTTTTCCCAATTTTCCAGGTGTTTCTTCGTTTTATTTTTGTTGGCGTGCCGCTAGTCATTGCACTGAGGTGTGTATGAATGACTTTACGGCACGCTTGGAGTTACTTAGTGTAACAGGCCTTGTAGAGGGGAACCAGCAAACGCAGCTGCCTCTTCATGTAAACGTGCGCCTTGGGGACGGCGCACTCTTTAGATGCCCGTCTGCCATGCTTCGTGAGGGATCTGTGACCCTATCGGAGCTGTTGGAGGGCGTGAAGGAAGAAGAAATGGCCTCACGACAGGTGGAGTTGCCATTGCCGTCAGTGGACTCTGCTGTATTTGAAACAGTTGCATTGTATTTGGAACATTTCTACGAACCAACGAATTCAACTTCATCGGAGGGGAGTAATGCTGGTGTGAACAATATTCAGGTAGTTGCTCCGAACACGCTTTCAAGACCTCTCCATGTGCAGGAGCTTTATCGCCTCAGCGAGTGGGAGCATTGCTTTGTTGTTCAGCGACTGCTTATGTGGCCACAGAATCTATGGGAACTCAGCAAGGAAGGACAATGGGTGGACATGGCTGCTGCGGCAGTGGGATCCTCGCAGTCGGTGGGCCAATGCGATGTCCAACACCTTTTGAGAGTTTTGGAGGCGGCGACAATGCTGGAAATACCATTGTTGCGCGATTTGTGTGCGGCAGTGCTGGCCAACTTACTGATGGACGTGGATGAAAAGGGCATTATGGAGTTGATGGGAGTCACGGAAACGTTGGGCCCAGATGAAGAGAGAACCTTGTTGAACGAGTATCCGTGGCTCAAGCTGTAGCGGCACCCTCGCACATATTGTTGGTGCATCTTGGCCCCCAACAGAATGAAGGAGGAACGGTGTTTTGGGTCTCGTGCCACCAACACATTTTTTTTTTCTTTTCTGTGATCGCCTGCTACGGAGGTGTCGTACCATTGGTGACCGCATCCGTCGTGCTGAGGTAGATGCTTCTCGTGTAGGCTATTTCACCGTAACTCTTTCCCGCTTTCCAAAGATGTGTTAGATGCTTGGCGCCGCCTATGTGTTGGTTCTTACACCATCACTCTATTAACCTCCGTTGCATGGGGCTCAGTATTCCTTGTTTTCCTTTCAACAGTTTCAAGCACCGCATTGTTTGGACCGGTGCTGTTAGGAAATAACCCTTCCTTGTGGATTTTGGTTGTTGTTGTTGTTTTCCCCGTTTTTTTTTCTTGTTCGTTTTCAGTTTTTTGTTTAAATTCCTTGTTGCCATTATTTGTGGGATAACAGTGCGTGTGTGTTTGTCTCTCTACAGGCAGTCTGAATTGCCTTTATATATATATATAATCTTGAGATGCGCGCGTGCATATGTGTATAAGCGCCTTCTCATTTGGCATGTCTCTTTTGGATTTGTTGTAAAGTAAGAAACAATAAATATGCAGGAGGAAAATGATCAAGGGTTCGTACAAAAGGCTATCAACGGGGACGAAGTACTGAACAATAATCACGGCCCCATCTTGAGCTTACTTAGGGAAATACTGGACAATTCCGCGATTGCCCGCGAAGTGCAACTGCCTTGCTTCAGCTTCCTTTGGGGGTTTGCATGGACTGAGCCGTTAATTTTTATCTATGAGGGCGGTGCTTGGCCCGCCGTTATTCACCCTTACCACCTCATGGAGGTGAGTCGCAGCTTCCTTCCTGTTACAGGAAATAGTGGAGAGACCGCGACGCGGTATACTATTCCCACTACCTTTGAGGATGGCGTTGTCGGCCGCGCCATTGGCGACGGAGATTATGCTGTACAGTTGTTACGCTTTGAGTTGGTGGGTACGGCGTATTCTGTAGAGTCCTATCGAATCTTCGCTCGGAGCACCTCACAGCCGAATCTTTTCACACGTCCTGAGTACAACCGACCGGTGAGTTCTGCCGTTGTTCGCGTAATTATGAACGGGGGTGGAATAACACCGAAGGGAAACAATGATACCCATCGCATCACGCAGTTGCGGGGGAGGGAGTTGGGAGAAGCATTCTTTCACAGCTTTGTTTCCCTTATTGGTGGCACTGTGAAACATCTCGAAAAGATGTGTTGTAGTTGTACAAACGCGGGCCGATATCAGAGTGACGTGGAAAGTGGCGGGATTTCCTCCAGTGCACACAGCAGCCAACCTTTTACTGAAGAACGTTCTCTTGTGTCACTTCATTGCAACACGGAAATTTGTCATGCTGCTGCGTCTGTTCGACAAGATAACATTCCGGACGCGACCTGTGTAGTGGCTGCGGAGGGAAATAACAATTCCACCGTATCTTTCTCTACAACCAAAGGGACTGAGGCGAATTCCGATTTTTCGCTAAGATGGGAAATTTTTTTCCAGTTATTTATTCAGGAGGAGCGGTACTGCACCAACGTTGAAAGTGGTTGGACAAACTGGACGAGTGGGTGGGATAAGGTGAACCGGTTTGACGTTGTTGACTCTATCGATTGTATCATCACCTCATTGGGGGGCTCACGCGAGGCTGTCCACGTTGCTACAGCTTACCTTGATGCATTTGTTTCCACGTCTCAAACGGTAGTCAGGGATGCTACTTTTTTTAGTGGGATCCTTCTTGCTTGTTCCATGGTGAGTTGTAAGCAGGTGGATCGATTTTTCCCCCCCATCAGAGCGTTTTTACGTTGTTTGCGGCCAGAGCACTCCGTCACCACGGCGGAGTTTATTCGCTATGAGGGGTATGCGCTGAAAACATTAAACTTTTGTTTGCAGCCTGTTACATCGCTGGAGATTGTGGAGGCCTTGTTGCAGTTGTGCGGTGGCCCCGCTGCCCAGCGAGAGGCAGAGAAGCGGCACCGCCTACGTGAGATGGAGCGGTGGAATGTTGACACGAGTGGAGGGGGTAAGGGAGGTAATAATAATAATATTTGTAATAATAACACATACGATGGTTGCCGATGGTGTGATGAGGATGCTGACAAGGATACGGACAATGCGCATTGGAACTGCCTGTGTCGGCTGGCGCGATTTATTACTGATTTGATGCTCCGTGACACCAGGGCGCAGGAATTTCGACGTAGCGTAATGGGGCTTGCCATTCTTGCCGTCGCCGCGGAAAAGACACAGTGGGCACTTCCAGCGCCGCTCGCCGAAATGCTTCCCGAGTCCTCCCGCGTCAACAGCAGTACAGGGGGAAGTGCAAGACTGGACTGTGAGAGCTACGAACTGCTGACACGCTACGCGGCGACAATACGGCACCGATGTGAGGAGGATGGACAGAGGTGCGGTGTTGCTTCGCTCTGGCGTGCTGTGGAGTTAGTTCATGGGTACTGCGAGGAATTTGGCACGGGACGACGGTTCATCAACGGCGTGCTTCAACGACGCTACGGTATCAACTCCGCGACGGACATAAGCATGAGTGTGTAGTTTTCCCACAAAAAAAAAAACGAGAAAGCAACAACAAAGAAGAGGAAAAAATAATCAGAACACAAAAAGAAAGGGACTAGAAGGAAAGGGAAAATCACAAACCACTGGAGATGGGTTTTCAAAAGGAAAGAAGAGGAAAGCTGCTTTTATTTTTAAATATGGGTTACTTTCGTTGTCCCCTTCCGAGAAATGGGCGTCGCATAGCAAATGAAAACGGAAAAAAAAGAGGCGGGGAGTAAAGTGCGTAGAGCACGCGTGGCGAGGAGCAATGACGGTGCCCATGAAGAAGGAACAAGGGATTACTACTGAGTATGTTTTTGGGATCGGTCCTTGGGAAGCGGGGAAGCGGGGAGGCGGGGAAGGGGTTGTCTGAGGTTGGTGATATTTAACTGAAAATCATAAAGAAACGAAACCGGGAAAAAACAAAGGGGAAGTGGCAATGGGGGGTCTATACCTTCTCCGTTTGTGCGTCGTCTAGACCCTTGGCTTTAGGCCAGTGGAGGGTGTGTGTGTGTGTGTGTGTTGTCTTTTTTTGGTTTACGACGTCTTCATTACTTTTGTTGTTTTTTGTTTTTGTTTTTTTTTTTTTTTTTTTCTTATTTGTTTG